CCGAGGCCTGCAGCACCTTCTCTCTCTCCCTTCCTAGGCTGGAAGGTTGAGGAGCGGATCCTGGGCATCTTTGCTAAATGCCTGCCCCCCCTCAGCCAGCTGCAGGCTATCAAGTGAGGGGACATGGGGGGTGGGGGGCAATGTGGGGGATGCTCAGGGGAAAGAACTGAAGAGACGGGAAGATCCTGGGGAGGTGGGAGGTGGGGGATGAGGAGGGTGTGGCAGGGAGGATTGTGGGAAGGAGGCGATGCTCCAGCTGTGCTCCTGGCCGTCCACCAACAGCTTTTGGAAGGTGGGGCTGACGGATAAGACCCTGGCCACGTTCATCGCCCTGCTACCTCTCTGCTCATCCACTCTCAGGTCAGAGGGGAACGGGCCGGCGGGGAGGCCCAGTGCCTGGCAGCCAGGCCGGGTCGGTGGTCAGAGGGAGCCGTTCGGGGAGGGGAGTGGCAAGTCCCAGCTGCTATGGGCCTGGGCTGGCGTTGCTGTGGAAGCAGCGTGAGCTGATAGCCGTTGAGTTTTGAAGCTCCCATCTGACTAGGAGCAGAGTCCCTTTTCTGCCTCTACCAGTGCCTGAAGAGCCTGGCCTTCGGGGCCTCAGCCCTCTCCTCTCCATCAGCCCTACCACCACTCTCTCCCCGGAGGGTTTTCTCCTTCCCGGATGCCTGGGGCCTGACACTGTACTAAGGGTTGGTTCTCGCCCTCCAGGACCTGGCAGTCCAGGGAGGGAGTGGGAAGGATGTAGGAACAGATGCTGCAGGGCAGCGTGGGGACTGGGGGTGAAAGAGCGGTTCATGGGGAGAGGGAGCGGGAGCAGAGAGGGAGTGCTACCCCATGGGAGGAAACTTTAAAATAGAGACATTTCTAGCCATTAGTTCAATTTGTGTTGTGACTGGGACAAGTCCTCCGTCCTCTCAGCACCGTCGGAGAAGCACTGCCTGTGGATCGGACATATGTTAGTTATTTATTGCTGTGGAACAGATCACCTCTGGATTTAGGGCGTAAAACAACAAACCTCTCAGTCTCTGTGAAATGAATCGGGATGCAGGTCAGTGGGTGCTGCCGGCTCAGGGTGTTCGTGAGGTTGCAGTAAAGCTGTTGGCTGGGGCTGCAGTCATCGCACCTGGGTTTGGAGCATCTGCTTCCGAGCTCACTCAGTGGCTGTTGATAGGTTGCGGCGTGTCCACACCTGAGCCCCTCGTAGGCCGTCTGAGTGCCCTCACCACCTGGCAGCTCACGGGGACCCAGAGGGTGCCAGAGGGCACCCAAGGTGGAAGCCACGGCCTTTTTGTAAGCTGACCTTGGAAGTGACATCCCATCACTTCTGCCACATCCCATTCATCAGGTGTGTCACTAGGTCCAGCCACACTCCAGGGAAGGGGGTTACACAAGGGCATAGACACTAGGAAGTGGGGGTCCTCGGGGTCATTCCAGAGGCCACCTCACCATAGGTCGCTAATTCTGGGGAGTGGCCCCTTCCCATGGCCACACTTCCGGATTTTTAGTCTGGAGGAATAAATATAATTTAGTTCTGATATAATTTCCTCTTTTGGGATGCATCCTTTAACTCTGTCTTCAAGCTGCTCCTCAGAGCCCCACACTTCCTCTGTCCCTACCTTCACTGGCCTCAGGGGTGCCCCCTGGTTCTCAGATCAGCTCCACCCTCAGGAAGGTGTCTCTGGAGGGGAACCCACTGCCCGAGCAGTCCTATCACAAGCTCATGGGACTGGACAGCACGTGAGTCTCCTTCCCACCACCCCTTCTCTGGGCCTGCCCCCATTCCAAGCCATCCGAGTCCCCACCCTTCCTTGCCCCTCCTGCGCCGCCCCAGGCACCCTCAAGTCCTGCCCCACAGACTTCAGACCCGATGACCCTCCTCATGCCCCCAGGCCCCGGTGTTTCCAGTGACCGGTCCCCTTCCTCTGCCCAGGATCATGCACTTGTCTCTGCGGAACAACAACATCGATGACTACGGGGCGCAGCTCCTGGGCCAGGCTCTGTCCACGCTGCACACCTGCAACCGGACCCTGGTCTCGCTCAACCTGGGCTTCAACCACATCGGAGACGAGGGCGCGGGCTACATCGCGGATGTGCGTGCACAGGAGGGAGGGACCCCCTGAGCCTGCGGTCTGTTGGCTCACGCCCCTCCCCACCCTCAGGGCCTCCGGCTGAACCGCTCCCTGCTCTGGCTGTCCCTGGCCCACAACCGCATTGAGGACAAAGGCGCCCTGAAGCTGGCCGAGGTGGGTGTGCCAGCTGGGCGGGCTGGAGGAGTGGGTCGGGCTCACAGGGTCTGACAGCTGTGCCTCGGCCCAGGTCCTGCAGCCCTTCGAGCTGACACACACCGAGGTGGTGGAGCGCCGGCGCCTCCTGCTGGGAAAGGGGGCCCAGGAGCACTTGCGGTCGGTGAGCTGTGCCTCAGCCTCTTCCTCGGCCTGCTGTTTCTCAGCAAGCTGGCCCTGTCCCAGTTCGTCTTCTGTCCTGACTGTCCCCCTGCCCAGCTTCTGCACTGGCCTCACAAACGTTTGGGCTGTCACTGCAGAATCCCTCCATGGGCAGAATGTATTGGTTAAAAGAAAGGAGAAGCCCTGGCCAGTGTGGCTCAGTTGGTTGGAGCATCTTCCCATACACCTAAAGGTCATGGGCTCGATTCCCGGTCATGGTGGGTGCAGTAGGGAGCTGATGGATGCTTCTCTCACATCGATGTTTCTCTCGCTCCCTTCCTCTCTCTCAAATCAATAAAAACATATCCTCGGGTGAGGATTTTTTTTTAATTAAAAAAAGAAAGAGAAAGGAGTAGATTTAGACTGCTCGAACTTGGCATGTTACTCACAGGATTGTCGAGAGAATTAAATGTGTGTAAAACACAGGGAACAATATGAGAGTCTGAGCCCCTGCCCCCCACCCCCACCCCAGGTCCCTAGCTGATGGATGCTTCTCTCACATCGATGTTTCTCTCGCTCCCTTCCTCTCTCTCAAATCAATAAAAACATATCCTCGGGTGAGGATTTTTTTTTTTAATTAAAAAAAGAAAGAGAAAGGAGATTTAGACTGTTCGAACTTGAAATCCCATGTGACCTTGGCATGTTACTCACAGGATTGTCGAGAGGATTAAATGTGTGTAAAACACAGGGAACAATATGAGAGTCTGAGCCCCTGCCCCGACCCCCACCCCAGGGTCCCTCTGCCATTTCTCCCCAACAGCACCACCATCCCCAGAAGTCCCAGCACTATTTTAGCATCTAGGCAGGCAGCTGGGGCGGGGAGGGGGGTGCTGCCTGTTGGACCACCACCCAGGCACAAGGCTTCCCCCTCCCCCTGCTGGGGAAGGCGCACTGGCTTCTGCCTCCATTCCCTCCTGTTTGTGGGCACAGCCTTCCTCTTCTCGACATGGGGAATCCAAAGCAGGACATGGGGAATCCAAGGCAGAACGGGAGAGGAATCAGCTGGTGGGAGTCAGCAGTGTCGCGCTGATAGACAAGACGGACAAGATGCAGACAGCAAAGAGCCTGAAGGGCCTGATCAAGAAAAAGGAGAAGGCAGGGGTAGGTGTGCTGCGGGCAGGAGGGCCTTGGGCAATCTTGAGAGCAGCAGCGAGGACACCTCACGGTACACAGGGGGAGCGGGAGGCAAGAAGGCTTCAGGCCCAGGGTTCCAACACTGGCCTCCTCCCAGCCGGTTCCCCACCCCCTCAGGAGGGAGGATTTAAATTTGTCTTCTTACATCCTTCACAGGAAGTGGTGAAGAAAGAGGAGAAGTCGGGGTCTGGGCAGTCACCCATACAAGGAAACCTAAAGAAGGAAGACGCCACAAAGACAAGCAAGGGGAGTAAGTGCTGGTACCCCTCTGGGCGTGGTATCCCTTGTTGGTGTGGAGGAAGGAGCAGTGGGCAGGGTGCAGGAGGCACTCGCTGGTCTTCTGGGCACATCTCTTTCTAGTCCGTTTCCTTCCAGGAGATGGTGTGGAAAGCCCTACCCAGTCCCTTATCCTGACCACTGCAGCTCGCTTCCCTGGGCCCGACCCCAGGGAGGAGGGCCTTGCCCTGAGAAGAGGACCCCCTCCAGCTGGGGTCCCCTCAAACTCCGCTTCTGTTGCACCCAAACCCAGTTTGAGGAGTCGCCTTCCTGGCCCAGCCCTTCTCTCTGGGGACTCTGGGTGGTAACAGGTCTGCACTGTGCGTTCTGACCCTCTTCCTGCCCCAGAGGTGACCATCCCCGAGCAGAAGCCAAGCAGGGGGAAAGGGCAGAAGACCGGGAGCAAGGAGAAGCGCAGCATCCTCCTGGAGTCAGAGGTGGGCTCCGGGCGGGGGTGTGGTGAGGGGTGGGGGTGGGGGCGGCGCGTCCTGTACT